CCCCCCCCCCCCCTTCATCTTTTTTTAGTGATTAGAAATTAACTTGTAGCCAGCGTCTGCAGGAAGGATTGTGTAAGTCACTGAATACTGCAGACTAATTGAAAAGGGGCAGCTTGTGCCCTGGAACAGAGGTGTGTTTGGAGTGGAGGGAAATGTTATTTGGGGAATTTCGGCTCCTCCTAATCTCAGAGTTAGCTTTTTGGCACAGTGTGTACTTACATTGCCTCCTTTCTGGCTTCCCACAGCCCGCCCAGGACTTTGGGACCTTTTTCTCTGCAGTGATTGATGACAAGGTGAGCTCCCCTCTCCTGTTTCTACTAGTGCAAGAAGGTAACACCACCAGGCTCTCATGAAGTGTTACGGTAAATGGTTTTTATTGCTTATAGCAAAGTACGAACATCGGTGATTAGTTAGAGCTGATTATCAGCCCTCTTTGCTCCCTGCTGGAGTATTGCATGCCTTAATCACTGCCCCTCTTCAAAAGTGCGTTATTTTGCTGAGAAACTGTCTCAGACACAAGGGTCAGAGTGCCCAGAACTGTTTTTCCAGCTCCCACCCCCTCCTTCTGAGCTGTAAGAGTGTTAATAGCAGTGTAGCCCTGAAAGGGATTGCCCAAACCTCCTTTTAGATCCCCGAACCCACGCTTTTCTTTATTATTTCCTTTTCTCAGTCTTTTGCACGGATAAAGAAATGGATCGAGCACGCCAAGAACTCGTCCAACCTCACCATCCTGGCAGGAGGTGGCTGCGACGACAGCGTCGGGTACTTCGTCGAGCCCTGCATCGTGGAGAGCAAAGACCCCCAGGATCCCATCATGAAAGAGGTGGGAGCAGCTTGCGGGGAGCTGGCGGGAAAGGTGCAAAAGGGGCTGTGGGTGCCCGTCCCGAGGTGTCTGCTGGGCGCGTGATGAGTTGTGCAGTAAGTCGGTGCAGGGATGTTCCTCTGCATCATGGCTTCAGCTGATCATGTGCTGAGGCACCCACGGCTTAGTTTTGGAGCTTGTCCTTGCTGAGTGCTTTATTTATTTATTTATTGTTTTTTTGCTGTACAGGAAATTTTTGGCCCGGTCCTCACGGTTTACGTCTACCCGGAGCAGCGGTACAAGGAGGTGCTGGAGCTGATCGACACCACAACGCCCTATGGCCTCACGGGGGCGGTCTTCGCCCAGGAGAAGTGAGTGCCAAAATCCCCGACGTTTCGCAGCAAACGATGCTTTTCCCCTTCTGGGGTGAGCCGTCTGACTCGCTTCTCTCCAGACCCCTGCGCTGCATGGTGAGGAGGAAAAGAAAGCATTTCCAGCAGGAAAGCTTACGCTGCTTTTAGCCCTCCTGCCACTGAGGAGGGAAGGCGATGCCTCAAAAGTAGTTTTTTCACCCCAAAACTGCTTCTTCAGTGAGAAACTCTCCCAGAGGTGATGTTTGGAGTGTACAGGAGGATGGACCCTCAGCCCTTGTAAGCAGGAGGAGGGCTAAGAGAAGTGTAACCTCAAAGAGGGACCATCCTTACGTTATGATCGTCTTCATTTTATAACAATAATACTTAGAAACAAGCTACAAGAAAACAAAATTGGGATAATTTGAGTTCTAAGTATGCACAGCCCCTCTCAGTGTGTGTTAAACACCATGCAGCCTTGGAAAGAAATGCAAACACGCTTCCAGAATCACAATTTTAGTTGCTCTAGAAGAGCAGAGGCCTCTGCACAAGTTTTTGCTGTCGCGTCTTGGCCACAGCTATTTCTGTCCCTCAGGAGAATCATCGAGGAAGCCAGGGAGCTTCTGCGCAACGCCGCTGGCAACTTCTACATCAATGATAAGTCGACGGGCGCCGTTGTGGCTCAGCAGCCCTTCGGAGGCTCCCGCATCTCAGGTGAGACAGCGTCCTGTCTGGAGATGACAGGAGCCAGCAGAGTGCCCAGGGGGCCAAGAAGGCCAATGGCATCCTGGCTGGTGTCAGCACTGGCGTGGCCAGCAGGGACAGGGAAGGGATCTGAGCCCTGTGCTCGGCACTGGTGAGGCCGCCCCTCGCTGAGTGGGTTCAGGTTTGGGCCCCTCACCCCAAAAAGGCCATTGAATGACTCGAGCGTGGGCAGAGAAGGGCAACGGAGCTGGGGCAGGGTCTGGAGCACAGGTCTGCTGGGGAGCAGCTGAGGGAACTGGGGGGGTTTAGTCTGGAGAAGAGGAGGCTGAGGGGAGACCTCCTGGCCCTCTACAGCTCCCTGCCAGGAGGGGGCAGAGAGGGGGGATGAGTCTCTGGAGCCAAGGCCCCAGCGCCAGGCCCCGAGGGAATGGCCTCAAGCTGCCCAGGGCAGGGTCAGGCTGGCTCTGAGGAAGGATTTCTGTGCAGAAGGGGCTGTTGGGCGTTGGAATGGGCTGCCCAGGGCAGGGGGGAGTCCCCGGGATCCCTGGAGGGGTTGAAGAGTCGGGCTGAGCCAGCGCTGAGGGATCTGGGGGAGTTGGGAACGGTCAGGGGGAGGGTCATGGTTGGACTGGAGGAGCTTCAGTGGTTTTTCCAACCAAGATGATTCTGTGACACTTAACCTGTGCAGCCGGGCAAGTCCCTGTCCTCCATCTCCTGCTCACTGGCACTTTCTTTCCCCTGAAACAGGCACCAATGACAAACCCGGTGGCCCCCACTACATCCTGCGCTGGACGTCGCCCCAGGCCATCAAAGAAACACACGTGCCCCTGAGGGACTGGCGCTACGCCTACATGCAGTGATGCCTTCCCGGCCCCACACCGGTACTACTGATCCTCAACGCACAGAGTGGCTTCGCAGCTACAACCTTAAAAAAGCACTTAAAGCTACTGATCTTTAACCCGACCAGCTTCGGTTTTATTTTTAAAGAAAAAAATTCTATTATTAAATTGCTAACTCAAAAAGTCCCTGTGGTCTTCTTAGTGTTGCAAGCGTGTGTGGTTAATCAGCGAAGGGAAGGCTGGAGGTGTGGTTGCAGACACACAGCTGGACCCCAGGTTCCCTTTTCCTCCTATTCTGTCCGTTCCAAGTGGCCTAACGTGGTTCCCTCTCGATGGGGCTGAGAGTGCTGGGATTGAAGGGGGAGATGAGCGTGAAGAGGCTGGGCCTGTCTCAGTTGCCTGTGAAAAGCAACGTCCCCCCCTTCTCTGTCCCCCGGGCCCCCTTTACCCTGGCAGAGCGTGAGCAGAAATCCCTGGAAGTTAAGGGCTGCCTGCGCCAGCCTTCCCGGGCAGCGTGGGGAGCCTGGCTTGTTTTAAACCAGAGATCAGTGTGCTGGGAGCCCTGAGCCATATTTTCTCCCTGTTCCTGATCAAATCTCCAACACACCCAAATGTTTTTGGTGTAGGAGGGGAACTTGGCAGAAGGCTCACTGTGCCAGGAGTGGGCAGCTGTGAGTGCAGTGCTGGTAGAAATTTTAGGCGTTGGAAGGGGCTGCCCAGGGAGGTGGTGGAGTCCCCATCCCTGGAGGGGTTTAAGACTGGGGTCGACTTAGCGCTTAAGGACATGGTGTAGTTGGGAACTGTCAGTGCTAGGTTAACGATTGGACTGGATGATCTCCAAGGTCCTTTCCAACCCAGGTGATTCTGTGTTTCTGTGATTTCACCCCTCTGAAGCCTGTTACCCGGCAAGCGGCCTCAGGGTGTGCTCAGGCACCGGGCAGGTGGAGCAGCAACACCCCGCTTGCTCCCCGTGTTCCGTTATCAGAGGTCAGGCTGCCTCCGGCGCTTCCCATCGCTGGTTAGCGGCTGTTTCCACCACTCCGATCCTTGGATATCTGCTGGAAGGAAGCAGGAAGATTTCAGGAGGTGTTTCAATATAGGAACGTTGCTGTGCCAGCTGCTGAGATGGCTCCAGCATCCCCCACCACCCCTAGAAGGAATTTAAGCGTTAGCAGGAGGTGCTGGGACAGCAACAGGGCTGCAATAATTAGAGCAAGACGCATTTCCCAGCCTGTTGTGCTCTGTCCAGGACCTCACACCTGTCCTGGGGAGCTGCTCTCCCACATTCGCCCGTCTCCAGGGCTCCACAAGCTGCCAAGTGAAGAAGTTTAATTGTGACCTTTGTGGTCTCCAGTTGCTGTGACCAGGGCAGGCTCTGCCTCACCGTCAGCGAGGTCTCACCCGCTGCATCCTGCAGTGCAAACAGGAAAAGGGATCTCAGACACAAAAGTCTTGCATTCTTCCAGGATCGTTTTTAATTTAGAAACGTATACATGTGTAACACCTACAATTAGTAACTGTTCAATTATCAGGATTTGCAGATAGAGTGGATAACCCTGTTCAGCTGTTGTAATAAGCATTAAGTATTGATCTTGCCTGTGCCTGGGCTGGTATTTAGCATGCAGGTCATGAACAAGTTGCATTAATACCTGTGAATCCTGGTTTAACTGAGAAAATCTGCAATAAAATAAATCACAAAAAAACCCTTTGTGCTCCTTTATTAATTATTTCTTTAAATTGTTGCCAAATAAAGACCTAGATGGAGCGTGCATTCAATGCCTTTAGTGCACACTTGATAAGAAAAGATGGGAGCCATGAGCCAAAACTGCTGCTCCTGCCTCCGAACAGGCTGGTGCTGTTTGTCCTAGCAGCTCCCTGCGGTTTTGAGACCCCACTGCAGGTTCTCTCCGTCACGCTGCTGCACCCAGCGCCAGCCAACCCTTGTGTGTATTGATTAGTTCTTAGAAAAAAATCTGCTCTGCTCTCATCCTTGGCAGACAAGCCGGAGCACCCAGGCTGCCATAGCTCTGCCTCCTCACACACGCTCATACTGCAGAGCCCCCCAAAACTCAGGGTTTTGGCTGTCCTTCACCCCACACACTTGTCCCAGAGAGAAAACAAAACAAAACACGCTAAAGTAAAACCAGCCCGGTTTTGTATTGTCTGCTGAAACTAAGACATTCCCTTTGCATGAGAATGAGAGGCAGGAACGATCCAGCAGCCACCTGACTCACTAGCACCCGGGTTACGACAAAACATCCATGTGCTGCATACTGGGAGGGCACATGGGACCCCCGTTCAGCTCCAAAACTACCCCAATCCCACAGCAGGGAGGAAAGGACCGTCCCACCCTGAGTTCAGGGATGGCCTCTGAGCCCCCCGAGATCATCCAGGTGAGGCCACAGCGATGTCCTGCGCAGCCAAGTCCCCTCCTGCTGTCCAGGTCAGGATAAGCCCCCCCCCCCCGGCCAAGCTCCTGCAAATGGTGTCCCCAAACCTTTCCAGACTGGCCCATCAGCTCATTTCAATCTCACAAAGGGCTCTGCCTTCACCCCCGGAGAGCTGGAGGGCCACGGCCCAGCAGCTGAGCGCTCGCTCAAGCCGCTGCCTTTGGCTCACGCCTTTTATGACTTAAGGCCAGAGTGTCAAGTGGATTTTTTTAGCCTTAACTCTGAATTTCATGGCTTTTGTGACTTTAAATCAGTCCCCTAATGCTATTTAAACAGTTGGCTTTTTGAAGCTGATAAATGCTTCGGTAGGTGTTTGGGAGAGGCAGGGGCTTTCGCAGCAGAACCCCAGGGGCTCTCCCACCTGCTCGGATGCTCCTGGACCTCTCTGCCCTCTGCTGGGAGGGCGAAAGGGGCCTGGGTGGGGTGGAGGGGCTCTGCATAATCCCACAGTACCCCATAAAGAGAGGCAACAGGTTTGGAGCACCCTTGGTAAGGATTCAATCCCATTCCCACGCGCAGCTGGAGCTCTTAGCGGTCTCCCGCTCTATCCTGACGCGCTCGGCTGTTCGTCCTCCGAGCGGGGAGCCGGGAGGGAGCCCGAGCCAGGCTCTTGCTAGGAAGTGGCAGATTTCCCCCTCCGATAACACAAAGCTCCATCTGCTTCCCGTTAGCGGCCCCGGCTGAGGCTAATTGGCAGATCAAACCCTCCGATGTCCCGCCTTAGGTACGTCGTTAGGATTGTCCGGAGCGAGTACGACGCTTCTTGGATGGAGCCCAAACGCCTTCCCCCACCACCCTGGGCTGCGCAGGGGTGCTAATGCAAACCACGCGGAGCAGCCCAGGAGCTGGGGCATGAGGAGGCAAACTCTCGGCTTTAAAGCAAAGCAAAGAGGGAAACTGAGGCAGCATGGACCTGTTCATCCATGGGGGGAATCAAATCGGAGAGGCAGAGGATGGGCAGCATGCTCGGCCGTAGGGAGACCAGCACAGCAACAGCCACTCTTCTTTTCTAGCACTGAGCAGGGCTGCTTCTGGCTTTCTGGGCAGTTTAAAAATTGTCCAGATTAAACAGGAGAGGCAGTGACCATGATGATGCAATTGCTGCCCTAATTTTAGCCTCACTGACTTTGCGCTTTTTTTTTTAAAAAAAAGAGAAAAGTTTAACTCTTTAAGTGTAAGATTTGCACTCTTAACACACACATATCAGGAATGGCAGCAATTCAGGGCAAGGCAGGGGGCTGGAAAACCCCAGCTCTGCACCCCAAGGATAAAGGGCATAACCCATCGTCTCATCACAAGGACAACACACAAGCACAAAACCAAAACCTCAGAGGGGGTGCTCGATTGCATTTGGCTTAACAGGGTTAGAGAAGAGCCCTTAACCTGCCCCTGAGGAGGCAACAAATGAGGCCTAAATGCCTGCACCTAGCAGCAGATGGCAGCCAGGGGAAATATCGCACTAAATAACACTTTGTCGGGGCGTCCCTATGTTGCAGGATATGTTGGGGGTCCCTGCAAATCCCCGGAGGGTGGGAGACATGATCAAATTGGGGTGCTGTGTCACAGCACAACTGCCTGGCAGGGGCTAGTGCCCAGGTTGCATCCCTGCTTTACAAACTCCCACCACTGCATCCCAACTGCAACAGCTTCTCCTGCCCGACATGCTGGGAAACCACCTGAGCCAGGATTAGTGCCAGATTCCCATGGGGGGCGAATCCCTGCTCTTACCTTACAGGGTCTGAGCCCCACCAAAGCAGCACCCACCCGAGGGCAGAGCCTGCAGTCCAAGCTGCATCCCTTCTCTGGAGGGGCATGGCCCCGAAACACCACGGACCTTCGCTCCCCCCCTTCCTATCCCGGGACTTTGGGGTCCTCTCGTGGGGCTGCCCGGGCAGTGACTGCAGCACCAGCCCCAGGTGAGGCTGAGGGGCTGGGTCTCCCGCTGAAGTCTATTTACAGGCTGTGGGAGGCATTTAGGGCTTCTCTTTTCAGCAAGCAAAGTTTGGGGGAGACCTTTAGGGCTCCCTCCTTTCCCAGCCTGACTAATATCCTCCAGAAAATTCTATACACAGTGTCCTAGGGGAGTATTTCCCGCCCAGCCCAAAGTTCAGGTTGGGGAGCAAGGACTAAGCGCAATCCAAGAAGCTGTTTTTACCTTTTTCTGGAAACAAAGTGTGGTGAGCAAGGGTTTCTAACTGTATGTGGGAGGTTCACCTTTTTTCCTAAGGAGAGGCCAGAAGAAACTCATGGCACATATTACCGGGGTGAAGGGCCTCCGAGGATGCAGGGAAGGGCTGGGGATGGCTGCAGGATAAGGGAATGTCTTACCTTTAAAGGTGGGCCCAAGACAAACTCCAGCTTTAGAAATCCCCTTAAGCTCCGCTTGTTGGAAAACTCCCCGAGGTTGGAATTTTTTTTGACCCCACAGTTCTGGTGTGCGTGTGGGGGTGTCTGTGTGCAATCCCCCCCCCATGTTTCCCCCTCTGTGTCCCCCACCCGTGGGCAGCCAGGCCTCGCAGGCAGGGATGCTGCTCTTCCCAGGGTCCTCTCCTGCCCTTCACGGGGGCAGCAACCACAGACTGGGGGCAGGGAGCAGCTCGCTGCACCAGTGAGCTTGGAATCAAGCCCCCCCCAAATATCCTCCAACACTCCCTCTCCACTCAGGGCTCCACGGTCCTGAGGCAGCAACAGCCTGGCATCACCCACTCCACCACCAGGGACTGATTTTTGGGCACAGGCTGTGTATTTTTATTTC